ATCCTGGTTCTGTAAAATAACGGCAGCTGATCTTGACTCACTTCTCTGTATGCCAGTGGAGAATGACATTGCAAACTTGGCGTCACAGACATGGGAGGGAGTGGATTATTGTAAATATCGAAAGGCATCTTCCTGTGGAATCCCAAAGTTTGTCCTGAGGATCTTCAAAGTACTTTACTTTTTAATGTAAATGTGGTTTGCTTCTCCAATGGAGCGTCTGAGTTGCCTGTCTGTATAGATACGTTTTTGTGTGGACTGTGTTTGAAGACCAGTCCCTCTGTCTTGCCTGAGTGTAGATTTGCATGCAAAGGAAACTTAAGATCAGGAATGAAACAGCTGATACCGAAGTTTTAGAAAAAAGCCTGAATATGATCTTTGAGACGGAAGAATGCCCTTTAAGACTTCTTCCCTTCCTGAATTTTGTATGTGCTCCTCCTGTCATTTGAGAGCTTCGAGTACTTGAGCTCTGGAAGGTAACTCGTTGCGATCTGCAGAAATCAGGACATAACGTGGCCTGAGCGATCTGTGTACATGGCCTTTTTTACTTGTGCCTAGGGAGTGTATGTCTTCAAGCAGAATCGTTGGCAAGTTAGGCTTGACTTTGTTTGCAGAATTAGGAGGTGTCTAAGGAATGAGCAAGTTCAGTCTGCTCTTTTTATCAACTCTTTTGAGAACTGCCTACGTTTCCAGGTCTCCTGTGCCCTTGATTGTAGCACTTGCTTCCAGGAGGGAAATACTGAAGTCGCTCTCTTCAGTAGGTTCGACGGGCAGCCTCTCTGGAGGCACCTTTCTTTTCTTTTGTTAAGGGGAACAATTCTAGTCTGTCTCAGTCCTTGTTTGTTCGCAGTCTTTCTTCTAAGACTCTGCTTTACTAGAGAATTACTTTTTTCTCCTCTTGATCTTTCCCAACCCAGTAGCTGCTGTGATTCTGTTAGATGTACTTGTGAGTATTTCAGCATCTGTACTATTCAGGACTCTGTATCCTGCCCCTATGACGCCGGTTACATCTCTCTCAGTTCGATTTGGAGAAGTGAGGGTTTGTCCATGTAACCATGCTAACCATCCCGTATAAGACATATTTAGGAATGGTGAGCAGGTAGGTTTAAGTGTAGAGATTTCAATCTGTATTGGCAGTTCCACTCATTTAAGAGACCATAACGGGTTAAATAATATTCGCTGTTGTCCTATGTTTTTAATTAGGTAGGGGCCAATGTTACAAATGTGAGGAGATAGTTTGATAGGAGGCAGAGTTGGTGAATACAATTGTTCCATATCAATCTTGAATTGAAAATCTAAGCTAGGATGAGAGTTGAGATCTGTCCAAAGGCACGTTATGAGTGCTGAATGTAATACAGTATACTTCTACCAATTTGTTGTGAATGCTGATTTGTGAATCCTGCCAACTACGCCAGTTTGTCATGAATGCTGATTTAGGATCTTGCCGACTGAGTGACTTTGCACAATTTGTTTAGGATTTATTTATGGAAAATTGCAGAATTCGATTGTGATATGTTAATAGCACTCAATCATCAGTCAATTTACAAAATGATTTAATAAAATTAATCAGAACTGCGACTTAGTTACAGATTCGAAGATGGCAATGTTCACTCTGTTACTGCATGGAAAAAGTACACAAAGGAAAAGTAAGTTACACTCTAGTTAGAATGATTCACAGAGAGATCATGGATGCAGAGGATTAGGAGGACCCTCCTGTTGAGTCACAAGGTTCAGAATAGACCCCCTTGTTTTCTAAACTCCCTCTCTGAGGGGAGTCTAGGTGTGGCTAGGTCCAGTCTTAGTCTCAGACTTGGTCAATGGTTTATATCTCAGAGTAATATATCTTATCTATCTAGTAGCAGTATAAGATTCACTTTATAATTATATTATTATTATTATATTATAATTATATATATAATAAATATATAATTAACATATATATATGTGAGGGTATACCTGTTAAAAATTCCTCTCAAGTTCAGTGAAATAAGTCAAATGTGTTGGCATTTCTCAATGGGTGAGGGTTGAGCCTTGAGGAGTGAAATGTTTCAGCCCAGGCTCCACTGTCGGTCTTCAGCGATGGACCTCTGATTTTAGCAAACTTTGTTTGCTAGCTCTAAGAGGCATCCCACTCAAGAGAGAGATGCTGGTCGCAGCCCACTGCTGTCCAGGAAAGCTCAAAGGGCCTCACTTAGGCCTGCTGTTTTATAGGATCATGAGATGATTAGCTTTAGTCATCAGCAGATTTCCAGTTTGGACCACAGTTGGCTTGGTAACCACTGGAATTGCAGTAATGATGGTACCGTGCCATTCAGGCTACGATTCAGATAAGTAATGTTCCAAAGCTAACAGGGAATAACTGATTGTTCCCTCCCTGCCTCAACCATGTAGGAGTTTCTGGTATGGGCAGTGCCACCTAATGGTCCGACTCCTTACACCAAGGCCAAGATCCGATGGGAGTTTCTGAAATCATAGAGCAGTACAGCAAAAAAAGAGCAGGGGAGGGAGGGGCATGCACCACCACAGCTTGACGCTCCTAGCCATGTAAGTGAAGTGTATGCTTTGTTGTCTTTAAAGTGCCTGTGTCTTTGTTTTGGGGGAGCACAGTAGGCAGGTATTATGCAATAGGTAATCTTCTCTAGTGGTTAAACAAGATCTTGTTAAAGGAACAACAGAAACAAAAAATAACTTGAAAAGGAACTAGGCTGGAATCAAGCCAAAGGGCTTTGTTCCTGGCTCTATTGATGATAACCTGTAAGCATTAGCACAATTCCTTTGTTTTTGTCCCCTGCTTGTAATAATACTATTTAAGCACTTGGAAGGACCGTTATAAGCATGAAATCTCCTGATGAAGTTAATCATAGCATCCATGGAGTATCAAAGGGATAAGTAGCGATAGATAAGGATTGAGTACCAAAGTTGTCTAAAATATGCGGATTTGTTTATTTTCAACAGGTTGAAACTTTGCAAGAAGCTTTTAGCTTTTATTAGAAAGGCTACTCAAATTAGCATGGGATGGTAATCGCTTTAAATACACAATGCATTGCTGAGTACACATGTAATTGTTATCTCACACTTCTGTAAACAATACCGCAGATTCTGATCTCTTGTGTAAAATTAATGATGGGTTCCACTCTTTGCATGTCTGTGTAATCCACTTTAGTATTTTGCGTTCATTGCTCGAGAACATACACACACACCCAGGGTGTGGTGGATATTTGTTTGTTTGTGTCATTTCTTTGTTTAGTTTTTAGTCTTTAAAGAGCACTATGCTTTGACAGTCTTGCAGTTGCTTCTTTGAAGTTCAGACAGGAAGTAAAGTATTTCTCTGAAGGATTCCATAGTGGATATTTTCTCCATAGTTGCCCTGATGTGTGAATGGAGAGAAGGTTCCTAAATACCTATTTGTGGTTATGTAACACTTCCCATAGTCATCATCGTTAACTTTCATCATGTGGTCTGTTTGTTCTTTGTATGTGTCGTAAATCAAGTAGTTACTTAAACATTCTGTACCAGGAATCTTGACCTTTCTCTTGAATAAATGAATGAATGCTAAATCAGCAGAATACTGTACCTCTGTAGCACCTTTCATCTACCTATTTCAGAATGCTTTCAAATAGTAACTTGGGCTCTCAGCACTTGTATAAAGGTGGCAACGTAATTTACATACAGACACAATAGAGGTGGTTCAAAGGTGTAAAATCACTGAGCAGAGGTCACTTCAGTTGGAGTAAATTGACACTCACAAGTCTCAACTTTGTGTGCCCTGTCCTAATATTGCCTTATTTTTGTGATATGCATCTAACTTCTTGGTAATCCGTCCCATAGCTTGTGTGTGCTACTGAGTTGTTAGACCTAGGCAGGCATGTTGTTTCTAAAAGCACTCTCAGAAAGCTGTGGATACAAGATGTGAAGGCAAGTTCTTTGCCTGCTCTGACCTGGGGGATAGGGTGTGGGGTTGCCTGTTTCATTGGGGTTACCTGGAGCACAGCATCAGTTCAGCAATCATAGAATCATAGAATGTTTTGGGTTGGAAGGGACCCCTAGAGGTCATCTAGTCCAACCCCCCCGCAGGAGCAGGGACACTGCTAACTAGATCAGGCTGCTCAGAGCCCCGTCCAACCTGGTCTTGAATATATGCTGTATGAATTACACACAATGGCTGTTTCTAAACTGACAAGTAAATGTGCTTTAAAGTGCACGTACAGTCCTGGTACTCCATTTTCCCAGGAAAAGGAAGATTCAACGTACCATTTGACAACTCCCTGCCAGCCTGCCTGCATGGGTTTCTTCCCACTTGGAACCAGGGTGTGCAGCAGAGCTGGGGAAAGGATGCGCGTCTGCATCTTGTGTGTGATGAGGTCTGGGTGCTGTCCTGGGGGAGAGAAAATGCCACCAGTCCCTGTACCTGCACGTGTCCCTTAAAAGCCGATGGGCGCAGCAGGTTGAACGGGTGAAAAATTGGCTGCTGCTGACCCCAATCTACACCAGCTGCTGCACTGGGCAGACGTCAATTAGGAGTGGAGCTGAGGGTTGCCTTCTCTTGTTTGATTAAGGAAGCTGCCCTCTCTGGTACCTTGTATCTTCTTAAGAGTTCATCCTGTATGAATTCTAACTTACTTTCTGCAAGACCACAAAGTCTTGTCTTGAGGGCACAGAGTTCTCTAGCAAGTCCCCTAGGCTGGAGTGGCTGCAGTAGTGTTATGTTCCCCTTCTGAGAGGAGTGTGGATTTATTTTTTTTTGGTGTTATTTTCTTTCTCTGAGGAGACTGGTAGGAGCAAAAGTGCCAAAGCACAGGATTTATGTCTGACTTGAACTGTATGACTGCAAAAATAAAGTGC